AATCTTTTAGTCAGATAACATTTGTTTTAGTATCTAAAACATTGAAATGACAATTAACAAAAAAAAAACAAACAGACAAAAAAAAACTGAAGAAATGTGTGAGGGCAAACACAACAGCTTACAAATATGTGTAGAAACTTGAGGATTCGCTTGTGAGTCAGGATGTGCAGAACATTTCCAGACTCTGGGTCGATGACGGGCAGTCTGTGGATTTTGTATCTGAGTAAGGAATAGATGGCATCAAAGAGGCTGCAACCGGAAAAGCAGAGATGCCAGTGACATTTAAAGGTTTTGCAGAAAATAAGCAAGAAATAAGACATTTTTTTTTTTTTTTTTTACCTGGCCTGTGGAGAAATACTGATAAGGAACTGAGTCGGAGACTTCAAGTACACATCTAGATTGGAAAACGGGAAGAACTCAAATTGACATTTAGTTTGATTTCAGCTTAAAGATGACATTGTTAGTGATAGTTATTTACTTCGAAGGGAATCACCTCTCCATGTTTCTATCTTATGGCTCTCCAGTCCATACATTTGGACCTTTGGGAGAAAAAAATAGATGATAAATGACATTAATTAAATCAGTATCATACTGATGTTATTAATCAGTACATTTCAATTAAGCACCATTTTGGAGCTAAGTTACAGTAAAACCAAAATACACATGTTTAATAAAAAAAAACACAAATATAATACAAAAATATAACAAATGTACAGTTTATAATGATCTAGAGAGAAAAGATATACTATAAAGAAACATACATATGTAAATAAAAAAATACAACAGGAGCTCCTCAAAACATTGACCTTAAACTGAAGTTAAGCTCCTTTGTATTTGTGCTCACCATGGGTGACTTGTAATAACAATGGAGGATGTTGATGAAATCAGTAATAGTCAGCATGCCTGTGGAAGAAAAGGATTCACATCCAAGCTCTTATATGAGGCAACGGTAAAAAACACATCTAGAAGAGAATGTCTTACCCACAAATCTCTGCAACTTGCTGTCCCATAGAGGTGCAGCCCGCAAGCCATTTGCCACCAGGGCAAAAAAGGCTTTTTTCACCTTTGGAGACAGCAGCATAAAAAGTCGTCAAACCCCTTATGCCTGTTGTTGCAAATATGCAACAAACTGTTTGTATTATGCAAAAAAAAAAAAATGAAAAAATAAAAATAACATGTTTCCCCCCAATTGCAGTTATTATACATTTAGTGCAGACCTAAGAAGATTTTTGCAAGCACTTGTTTCTGGTCCCTGACAGTGTAGTGTAAGGTAACGTAGGCTGTAGGCTCGAACGTCCGCCCTAACCCCTAAATCCCTCAATCACTATACAGAACTTGGACTATATAGTGGACCTTATGGCAAACTCAGTTAAATGACCATTTGGACAGTTGATCTCTACTTTTCGCTCCTCGTTGGTCACGTAACTCGTCTCCACACATGATGCCTGCTCCATCTTTGGTATTTGTAGCTGCTGCCGGGTAGCGACAGCGGGGCGCTGTGATAACAAATCCCATGATGCTTTGTGAGGAAAGCCCTCCGCACAAAGCATTCTGAGATATATCTGCTCGTCTAGTGACCATGGATGATCACTACTTTTCAAGGTGCATTGTGGGAAATTTCAAGTCCACTACTTTTTCATCCACTAGACATTTGGACTCTCATCTTAAATGGCATAATCACTACAGAGGGCCCTTTATAGTGGTTAGGGTGGACATTTGGACACAGCCATAGTGTCAGGCCTCTGGGTCACAAACCAGGCAGAGTAGATTCTTTTGAATAAAAAAAAATAAAAAACTAAAACACCAGTTAGTGAGAACATTTTTGGTTAAAAAAAATAACTTAACATTTTGATTGAGCAAGTTAAATCTCGTGGATTAAGGGATCTTAGGCAGTTTCTGCTGTAAAACCTAGAAATTTAGAGGATCTGGGAGGAGCAGTACTATTCCCAACTGCTAGACGTTGGTAGATTCCATGCAACATGTGAAGCATTTCTTAGAAACATTGACATCAAAATGAAAATCAGCGGTTATATGTTAAATGTCTGAGTTTGACCAGAAACATGCAGAAACTCCAGCTTTTTAACAACATTCACTTTTTCCTCACTTTTCGAGATAAATGATTTCCAGTTGCGTTTGGAACAAAATGTGCACTATTCGTTACACTTAATGGAAACAAAAAATAATATAGAAGTTTACCTGTAAGGTTGTGTCAAATATGACCAGCTTGCAGCTGATTGGAATGGCGTCATAGCAATTGTGACTCTTCATGAAATTCACATACACCTCAGCATCATTCTCTAGGAAAACCCACAGCAGCTCATCAGAAAGGAAGCAGAAGCATGTTGCATGTAAATAAATACAAATACCAGCTGGCAACAAGACAGTTATCAATATGAATTAACTGTATATGCACAATAAAAACATGGCAGTCCTTTAAAAGTACCTTGTTTCTTTATCTTTGTTTGCTCTTGTGAACATAATACCTTCAACAAAACAAACGCAAGAAACCTCTAAATTCTTTAAAATCCAAAGGATTTTTTAGAAAGTGTCCAAAGAGAAACAATATTCACCCGTGTTAGAGGCTCCATTTTCCTGTGTGTCCATGGAAAAAAAAAGCAGGTCTCAAATGACGGGGACTGTTTGGTTTGTTACCCTTTCCTATAAAGCACTTGGGTCTATATTAGGAGCTCCAGAGCGGTATGTGTCCGGCTGGTGGCAGAGGAGGGGAGGGGAAAAAGGAAAGTGGCACAGGTTCAAGGGGAGGGACTGCCTGTTTTCTCCCAAATCTAGACATCTGTTCATATGTCTGTCAACAGTTATTGTGCCTTCACTGATATCCAGGACATTGTGTCCTTCTATAACTCTTCTCTTTCCTGGTGAAGATGTGTAAAAATCTTACAAAGAAATCTTTTGTGGAATAATCTCAATGAAAATTTTAGAAATACATCATATCTGATATAAAGACCTTTATTGAGCATTTCAATTAAATTCTGTTTATTTATGCAGTGCCATAAAAGTTTCTATCAAGGAACAACAGCTGGTTGCATGGAGTCATTGACAGGCATGACATGCTCCTTCTGGGTGAGCTTGCAGTGACGATTTCCGCTTGCGTTTTGTCATCGACTCTTCAGCAAACCTTCACACCGACTGTGCATACGGCGATAGTGGAGAGGAAAGACTTGTTTTTTATCAGGCAGAAACCTTCAGCGGAACCAGGCTCATAGCAGGCACACTATTTTCATTGTGTGTTTTCATTACATACCTCCATTAAGGTTCCCAGGAAATTTGGAAGAGAATCATCCACCCTACTTAGCAAAGGGCATCAGACCACTTATTTAGTCCATGCAGAGTTTAGGAGACTTAACACGTATATGTTTATGACTACATAATCGTATGGTTTCTCCAAACTTCTTCCTGTTTTTGATGGTAAGACTTATGCTGTTACGTTTCTGGTTTTTAAGAGTAGCTAAGATTACAGGGCTTCCTTAAAATAACATCTATAAATATGCTTCTTACCAGAAGTGCATTACTGCACAGGTGAAATAAAAGTTCCAGTTCACTCAGATTAGAGCTATAATAATATAACTTTCTGACCATATATGGCTTGGCTTTTCTTTTATATCTAGGTCACCCAACTTCAACCCGTTTTACACAGCAAACAGCTGCTAACTGTTTTAGCTGACTAATGAAATCCCTGTATTATAACCAAGCTTTCATAGATATGATCCCATTTACAAAAAGCTAAAGGTTTGGTAATGTTGAAATTTTATTTTTTTAATCCTCAAATGCTGCACTTTGAATAAAAAATAAATCAAAACCTAGGAAATGAATGGACACTGTACAAGAATTTAAATGCTCAATTTTAAAAGTACTCCACCTGATGAATTTTGGAATAATGGAATAAATCTATAACATTTTGGGATAACAGTACAGATAATAGTTGCAATAAATGTTCCTTCTTTGTTTTTTCTCAGCTGTGCTTCCATCATTCAGTGACCCTTTAGAATTAAGGGCAATGTCACCTGTGTCCAGTCTGAGCATCTCCTGTCCTGATATTCTGTCCAACTAAATATTTCATAATTATGGAAAATGACAGATAACACTTGGAATATTTTAGCAAACAATTATTACTCTCCAAACATCATAAAACAATTAGGGGCATTTTAAATATAATTACACAGCTTAAGGATGAGGTTAACAAATATAAAAAAATAGATTATTTTGGAGCATTAACATTCATTACAGTTCATGGCTTCATTTGAATCTAAATCATTAATTTGACAAAAGTAATATAAATGAATAAAATATTAGTTTTATCAGGGAACATAAAAAGAATAGAAATGTTTAGTAAATTTTGATGGGTCCAAAATATATATATAAATATTAGGTTGGACATGAGAGGGAGCTCAAGTATTGGCAGATCCTAGTAGCTCCATGATAGAGCTGAGAAATTGTTTCTTCTTGGCCTTAAATTTCTCAAAAATGTATAATTTCCAATAACCTTTTTTTTTATATCTGCCATAGGAAATCCGTTGCATCTTAAACAACCAAGTTTATTTGCATTTTAGCTTTACAAAAAAGAAAAACATACAGCCTTTTAAGGCTATTTATTTATATAGTACATAAGTTAGCTCTTTATATCATTTTTACCCCTATTAAGAACCATTGATGAGCAGGTTGGAGATGCCCATGCCAAATAAAGGTTAGCATTAGCAGACCTGCTAACCTGTTTTCAGAGGGTAACAAGGTAAGACATCACCTTTAAAATATAAGAGAGCATGATGCAGTTTCATTCTAAGGCTTGGAAGATGAGGGTTAATATAAAGAAAAGAAAAATATCACTCTTTAGAAAAGCATTTATTAGTTTCATTGTTTTTTTTTTTTTTTTGCTTACCTCACTTACAAATTTAAATGTTTTTCTTCTCCAAAATGTATCAAACCAAAAACATGCCTTTTTTTTTTTTTTTTACATCCTAGTTCATAAAAATATGTTTTTTTTTCTCCTTCTGTGGCGTTTAAATGCAGAAGAAAGCAGCAATAAGGTAATCTAATGGTGTATTTCCGCAAAATGTGCAAATTCCAGATCCTAAAACACTTCAGTTAGCCTCTTGTTGTGCCAGACAGAACCAATCGAGCCGCAAAGAAAACCCAAAGAGGCCAAATCTTCAATGCCGACCTTTAACCTGCTAACAGGAATATCTATCTTTAAGATTGTCACATCATATTACCATTGTGAAATATGGTGCAAAAATAAAGAAAATACTAGATATTAAAGAAAATTATAAGATGATGTCTTATTTCAGGTGCCTTTTGATCTGCAGATGATGCTTTAATTCAGTAGTCTGCTTCCATTCTCCTATCCCTTCTCTTGGATGAAGTAAGGCAGGGACAACCCCAACCTATATGGTGTTACAAAAAATAAAACCAGTGCTTGCAACATATCTGATGATTCCACTGAAAAATAAATGGTAACCCTAGTTACACATAGCAAAATGAAACGCCTAAATTGGTTGTTCCTTTCTTACACAGCTGGTAAAATAAAAGCTTTTAACTTTAAGATATGCTTTAGCAACTTTTAAACACATACGCTCACCTCCCAAGCAGTTACCATCATTACAATTACCGTGTATAACTCAAAACATTCAGAACAAACCCTGCTCATTCCAATACGAAAGCAATCTTCTCACCTTTTTTAGTTCTTTTAGTAGATATAAAACTAAAGAGAAATAATCTCTGCTGCATATAATTTCATTTATCACCGCGCTGTGAAAAAAAAAATCCAATTTTATCCTTGAAAAAGTGCCTCTTTATATTTGTATTCTAAAAACGTGCCTTTTTTTAGACAATGGTGAGTCAAAAACAAAGTGTTTCCAGCATGAATTAGAGTGTCGCCCCTAGCCAGGCATGAGCAGAGCTTGATATTTGTCTGCGGGCAGCAGAAGCTCAGGACGGCAGGGTGACAGGTCGACGGTCGGAAAGGTCCCGATTTGTGAGTCCAGACTGGATCCTGCAGAGGGTTGCCATCCCGGCTGACGATGGCTTTTAACAGGACCGTTGTGAAGGAGGGCTGAGGTGTTTCTAAATACACAATGAAGATTAGGAAGGTTTCCAAAACAGCCAAAAGAGGAGGAACTTTCCAAGTCAGACTTATGTCCAGGATGTCCACGGCCACCAGAGGCCAAAAGGGAACCCCAAAGACACAAAATTGAGCTTTTCCTTGAAACCAAAGGGGAATTTCTCTGTCTCTCGTGTTGGTTGGTTTTAAGGGAACCAGAGTGACTGTTCAAAGACTTATTGGTCAGAACACAACAAGGCAGGCGGTGGGCTTGAGCTTTTGGATTGGAAGTCTGGATGTGGGTGAAACCGATTTCGTTAAACGAGGGAAGTAGGGATTGGTCACCTCTGGACAAACTGAGCTGGCGCACGACAGCGCTGCTGGCAATAAGACCAGCTACACTGGTTAGGTAGACCAGGCTGAGCATACAGGAAACCTAAAAACAAAACAAAAAAAACAACAAAGATGCATAAAATGTTTTTAACCTTTTCTCATCCATTTCAACAATACTGTTCTTTGGTTTTAAACTGTTTCCAAGCAGGTTTCTAACCTTTAGAAAGTGCTGATAGAAGGCAGTGAGGGCGTGACTCCAGGCAGAGTGATCCAGCAGCACACACAGGTCTGTGTAGGTGAACCAGCCACGCTTCATTCCTTGCTTCACCGCAACGCTGCAAACAAAAAATAAATACATTTACCCAACATAGCAGATTTAAAGTATTTAAAAATAAATGTAACAACCTCGTCGGAAATAATGCAACTACATTTTACAAACACACTAGAGATAAACTTTGTCAGCTGTAGATTTGAACAAACCTGGTTTCCAGCTGGCTGAGTAAATCAAAGAAGTCTTTCGGTTTGGTGAAGAGGCTCCACTCCTTGAGAATAAAAAAACAACAGGGTGAAAAGCTTCATCCAACAAAAACACATACAGGAAAAAACACAATGGATCACTTACAATGGCATTCAGGAAATTCATCTCCAGGTTGTTGATAGTTTCAACGTCCAGTTTCCCAGCTGCTCCCCACTCATCATTAAAAACCTCCTCTTCCTCACCTTCATCATACAGGTACTTGCTGGCAACCATCTAAAAAGACAAATATGAATCTCATTAGTCAAATCTCCCTTTAACACACAACCGTATTTCCAACAGATGCTATTAATAACACCGCTTTATATTTACAGTGATATATGATGCCCGAACATACCATGGAGATCAGGAAAAGGTCAGATGAGGAGATCTTTTGCAGGTACTCGGGATTTCTGTGTCGAAGTCTTTCAATATAAACCAAAGCGAGCATCATTGCACATGGAGAGATGCAAGCCTCCCTAAATCAAGAGAGAAATATACTTAATAATAGTTATGCTGCTATAGTCTTAGACTGCTGGAGGACATAGGGACCGTTTTTCATTATTCTATCTCTACTCTCCCACTCTGCAGAATGTGTTAGTTCAATATCTAACATGCTCTCTCGGTGCTTTTTCTCATAGTAGTATCATCTGGTCTGTTCCTGTTTGGCTGTGAGTCCATCTTGAGGAGAAATATAAGCTGCGCTGCTGCCATCAACACCTTTTTTATAGATGTTCGGGCTTGGCCTGTTTCTCTGACTGTGACTAGCTGGATGTTCTCTCTTTCATCCTCTGTCATGGGAGCTGGCTCAGAGCTCGTCTGCCTCGCTGTGTTTTTCCTTAGATAGAAAACTTTTAATCAATTTGACTGTATGATCTGGTTGAACTGTAAAGTGCCTTGAGATGACATGTGCTACGAAGTGGTGCAGTTGAATTTACAATAATCTTTTGAAAATAATGACAAGTGCAGTGTTTAAAAAAAAATATGTTTGAAAAGACAAACCTTGCAACATGAGCTGCATATTTCTTCTGGAGTTTCCGGATTGGACTTGGAGCAGACTTTTGGAAAATTTCAACAGCAATATCTGCAAGTACAAAGTCAACATGTCAGCCATCAATAATTTTAATTTAATTATATCCACACAAACCTCACAACATGTGAGTTTCCATTACAAAACACTAAAATAAGCATTTATTTGAATGAGACGAAAATATGCTTTGATAACATTTATACTGGATTAGGGCCGCTTCCAACAATTATTATGCAAATCGATTAATCTGTTGATTATTTTCTCGATTAATAATCAGACAGCCAAAGGTTCTTCAAAGACTTTTTATAAAATTAAACCAGGGGGAAGCTAAAACTTTTCAACTTGAGGAGTTCTGGATAGAGGATATTCCCAGATGATTTTTTTTTTTTTTTTATCTTAAATGCAAAATGTTTATATCTTTTTTTTTCCAATCTTAAAAAATTTAGTTTAGGACAGCTTTTCAGAAAGTAAATGAACATTAAATGAATATTGCTATAATAACTGATCTAAGTGGGTTGCTCTGTCAGGCATGTTTTAGTCTCTATATTTCAGTTAACAATTAATTAGTTAGGATTAGGAAATTAGATGATGCTTATTTCAACAATTGATTAATCACAATTAATCTGATCAAATGTTTCAGCCGTAGACTGGATAAGCTAAACAGAAACATTAAAGCCTCATTGAATAATGCCTGATACATATCTAGGTTACTAACTCACCTGTAACAGGGGCAGATAGGGCATCTAGTGACACATCTTTGTCCAGGCCATAGTACAGTCTTTTTCTCACTCGCTCGGTCAGTTTTTGGTGCCCAGGAAGAAACTGCAAAAACAATAACATGAGCTAAAACGTGGGAATCAAAGAACACAGAATAACACTCGTCTGGGAAAATAACTAAACATAATTTATAAACATAAACACATAAAGCTAAATGTTCAGAAAATGTCTGTTTCGCAATGCAACGGTGTGCAGGAAACCATCTGTGACAGTAATTAACCACAACCCACGGTGACGTCAGTTAGCGCGCTGAGATAACAGCTAAACAGCAGCCTCCACCCACAAATAACTTCATAGTTTCAATTTTGTAGAGTAGAATAGTAAATATTTAATGCAATAATTAACGTGAGCGTGTTGTTTTAAACCCAAGAAAGACAGTTAGGCTGTTATATGCTTTTCCTTATAAGGCAGTCAAGAGTTGTCGGTTATTTTCATCGGCGAGCTAACGAGTTAGCGTCTGCTAGCTTAGCGCGTGACCTAGCAGGATTTTAGCTCATACCGTGAACTCCTGGAAGTCCGAAAATTGAAACGTGTGCTCGTTGAATAAAGCGTTGAAATCCATAGTTACTGTAAATTAAGCATTAGACCGTTGAATTTGGGGGAGAAATAAAGTCTGCCCGTCTTGATCCCTGCTTCCTGCCAAGCTTAACTTGGCTAGAAACACGCCCTGACAGAGGACGTCCAGACAAGACCCGCCTGGTGTTTACTTCCGTTTCCAGGCAAATGAAGCCACTTGGGCAGCAGGGGGCGCTGTGGGCAAAGCCAGAGCCCTCAGTGACGGAGGTGTAGTTTTAATAGAAATTGGTGCCATGTAAATAAACTAATTTGATATACATCCGTATATACGTAAAGATGAATACATATGTACATATTTTATTCAATAAAGTTCAACGTAACTTTATTTGAACTAGTTCTATTAAATTTTCAAACTTAGTAAAAAATGCAAAAGTTTGTCAGAGGGTTAATTTCAAGAAAAGTAAAATATCACTTTTTAGAAAAGCATCTTTTTTTTTTTGTTTCTTCATAGTTTTTTTCTTACCTCACTTAAAAATTTAAATGTTTTTTTCCCCAAAATGTATCAAACCAAAAAGGTATGATATATTTCTGCAAAATGTCCAAATTCCAGATCGCATGAACCTAAAACTCTTCAGTTAGCCTCTTGTTCTGCCAGACAGAATTAATCTATTCATTATTTCAAGGAAAAAATGCAAAAGTTTCCATGTCTCATCTAAAGTAATTGTTCATATTTATTAGAAAATAAAATTAAAATAAATTGATAAAATTATCTACTTTTGAAGGACTGCAGCAGGTAATATTTAACCTTATATCTGGTATTCACCTATTTGTTTTGATCTTTAAATATAAAAAAAATAATTTTCTACATTTACCAAATTAACTCAGTCTTGTTTTACATATTTTGAAAAAGGTGTGTATAAGTCAACAGCCATTTTGTAAAAAAGGGTTTTATCTTAAAATCCTTCTCCTGGCAACTTGAAAACATTCAGCATCATTGTTTTGCTCTAGTTTATCTTCACTATCCCTCTACTGGAATTTGTAGTTCCTATCATTTAATTTATTCAGGTAAATACAGAGCCTCAATTTCTTTTGAAAAAAAAAAAAAAAGAAAGAATCAGGGAAAATATTCAGCAAATACTGGAGGCTAGGCTGCATGTAATGGTTCCCCCCCTTTTGCAGACAGATATGTATAAATCCCGTTATCAAATGTTCTGTCTGAAAATTTCTATACATACTTTGTTCTTCAAATAGCACACTAGCTTTGGAATGTAAAAAAATGCACTAAAAACCCAACTAAAACATATTAGTAACATTAATGCAAATCTGAGATTAAATCAATAGCAACAGGTTGCAAGGAACTTTCATTTTGACACCCGTTTTCCATTACAAACTTCTAACAGCATCTTCATTTTTCTTAAGATTCCTACTTTTCAACTATGATTCAATGAGACATCCTCTCCATAAAGTTTAATAAACAGCCTTGAACCTGTGAAAAATATATATTTTTATTGTTTATAACTACATGGCAAACATTTCCATAATCTTCACATAATGACATATACATTTTTAGCTGCACAGGTCAATGAATGAAGAAAAAAAAAGTCTTTAGAGATAGTGCAGAACTCCCTTTCACAAACAGTACCAATAGTTACTTGGATGTCAATTCTTACTGTGTGAGAAGTGAGATTTCATAACATGTTTTCACTGCAAAAAAATAACTAGGTCTATGAAAGTATAAGAAACCAGCATTTTACCTGACATGGACGATAAAGCAGTAGACATGGAAGATTTTTCTGTACAAACTATACCATTATGAGGATAGAGCGACTATTACAACCGACTATGATAAAGTGAACATTTATACACCTCTTAAAAACAGTTTTACATTAAATAACAACTGTCTGAGTTAACATATAAAAGAAAATCCCTGATGGCTTGTAAATTCACTTTTCTCTTAATCAAATGAATCAATCATGTCTTCCTGAAAATGAATTATTTTTTTGATTAATTCCCTTAGATTCTTATTGCTTCTATGTCCAATAATGAATGTCTCAATAAGAGGGGATCATTTTTCAAAACAGAGGAAATGCAAATATAAAAACAGAAGTCAAAAACAGCTAAAAGTGCTGCAAACATATTTTAACTTAAGCCTCATATATCTGAAGATTGTTCATTTTCCTTTTACCAAAACCTTTGATAAATAATATCAGCTTTGATATGTATTCCCATACATTCGAATAATAGTGTTACATCAGTTTTTAAAGGCACCTTCCTTTTTTTTCCTGACCTGACATTGCACACATACTTGCAAAATTCCTAAAAATAAATAACAATCACCTCGCTCTGTTCCTTTTAAACAAAGCATCAGATCTTTGAAAAGCAGAGTACAGAAAAAAATAACTTTTTTCTTTGTCAACAAACTGATACATTCAATGCCCTTGTTGGGTGGAAGAGGAGGACGGTGGCTGGAGTTTCTCAGACTTGCGATCCTTCGCTTCTGTATCTGATGAGGAATCCGAGTCGTGGGCCTGCTGTTGCTTCGACCACATGTCTGCATACAGACCTCCTTTGGACAGCAGCTCTTCATGTCTTAGAAATGAGAGGGTTAATATTTAATCCTGACCTGCTACCCAGCAGAACCAAGGGAGGAAAAAAAACCTACCGTCCTCGTTCAGCGATCCGACCCTCACTGATGACCAGAATTTGATCCGCACCGATGATGGTGGACAGCCTGGTGTATGAGTGACAATAAAAGGTAAAAAAAGAATAAAACCAACCAGAAAATTATGTAAACAGAGTTCCAAAAACTTAAAAATTAAAACTTCCTCAACAGCGGCCAGGCTTTAAACAGAGTAGAAAACGAGAAACAGGAAGGAAAGGAGGGGATGGGCCTTTAAAAGACATTTTAATAATAACTATTGATCACATCTAAGCCTCGTCTTCCTCCCACCTGTGTGCTACGACGACGGTGGTGCGGCTCGTGCACACTTTAGCCAGAGACGCCTGGATGTTGCGCTCGGTCTGCGTGTCCAGAGCAGATGTTGCCTAAAGACAAACATACGTTTTATTAAACAGCTTGTTCTAAAATTTCCATAAAATATTAAATTTGAACATCAGGTTAATAGGGACAAGTGAATGTATTACATTGATTGATGTGGATAAAAACAACAAAAGCTGATGGTTCTCATATTGCAAGTAATCAGATACCTCATCCAGTAAAATGATCTGAGGCGCTTTAAGGATTGTTCTGGCGATAGCAACCCTCTGCTTTTCGCCTCCACTCAGCTTGAGGCCTCTCTCACCAACCTGCGTATCGTAGCCTGAAAAAAAAAAAAAAAGAGGTTAAAATAAAGCTCTGATCGAAGCAAATTACACATTAATTACAACCTGCAGGCCCAAAAGGTTACCTTCAGGGAAGGCCATGATTTTATCATGTATATCCGCAGCTATAGCTGCCTCCTCCACCTCCTGGTCGGAGGCGGTGATGCGACCGTAGCGGATGTTCTCCTTGATTGTGTCGTTGAAAAGCACGGTATCCTGGGGAACCACGCCGATGTGAGCTCGCAGAGATGTTTGCTTAACCTGAGGAAACAGGAGGTGATGATAAATTAACTATGTAGCTAGAGCTAAATAAAACCTCTGGTACTGATAAAAAAAAGTCAATATTTGATATCAGGAAAACAGATTTCTCCTCCCTCTTCAAATGTAATCTCTCCATTAAAAATGGCTTGGGCTCCCAGATTACATGAATGGAATAAAGCGAATGGATAAGGAGACAGAACTGTTCATGATGCTAATACATTAAGATGAGGGAGTCAACAGCCAGACCAAAAAGGGCCTTCTATGTTAGCTCTTTATTTTTCCATTACCCTTAAAAAAAAAAAAAAAAAAAAAAAAAAAAAAAACACCTGTTATTTACCACAGATTACATTAAACTGCAGATAAAATATAAATTTTTGCTTCATCACTTTCAACATGAAAACATTAACTGATAATATGGAGAAAAGTGTAACTTCTGCAACACACCAATATTTCAGATATTTCTCACAAGGAGCAACACATTTTGATGGAAAAAAAAAAAACGCGGTGCAAATTAGAGTGAAAAAATCTTGGTCGTAAGGGGAGTAGAAATTAAAACAACTCATAAAGTTGTTCATTTTATGGACTTTAATAAAACTCTTGCTTCTATTTTTGTAAAGATTGGACAACGCGTTATGTATTAATGGTCAAATTTTGCGTCACATGCAACTCACGGCACTAAGACAACACTTTTTTTGTTTTTTACTTGTGCAAACATAACTACTGTTGCTTCATCTAGAAAATAAAATAAAAAAAGAATAAGTTGTTACTGGATCCCTACTTTTGAGATATCCTGGCCATCGATGCGAATGCAGCCTCCCTGAACATCATAGAAGCGGAAAAGCAGACGAATGATAGTACTTTTCCCAGATCCTGATGGTCCAACCTTAAGAGAGAAAAACAAAGTTTGCTATTAGTGTACAAAAAATATATATTACTGATTGGAAATCTCTTGATTTAAAATCACCATACCAATGCAACAGTCTGTCCTGGCAGAACAGTGAAGGAAACATCTTTAAGAATCTCCTTTCTGTAAAAGAATATACTACTTTTAATATATCTGCACTTATTTAACAAGATTTCACTAAAAATGAAAGCAAACATGAACAAACCCATTTGTGTAGCTGAAGTAAACATGGTCAAACTCCACCCTTCCCAGTTTATATAGCAAATTCCCTGCATTTACTTCATCTTTCACCTGCAGACAACATGCAAAGTTTAGAGGAAACACTACAACAACCAGTCCGACTGCGCCTCCGTTTTAAAAACATACCTCTTCGTCTTCCTCAAACAGTTTGAACATGCTTTCCATGTCGATGAAGGAATTTTGGATCATTCTGCAGGAAAAAAAAAGGACAGATCAGAATTTTTAAAGCTTTTTAAGCTTCAACTGCATCTAAAGCCTTGTTTTACCTGTAGTAGGTTCCAAACCAGTTCAGAGGGGTGTAGAGTTGGATGATGTAGGTACCGAAGAGAACAAAATCTCCAACCTTGGATCAGAGGATTGTCATTGTCACAAGAAGAATAAAATACGTCAGGATATGCTGAGAATGAACAGAGTCGGCACCTTAAATTTCCCCTCTGTGACAAAATAGGCGCAGAGTAGTGAGC